ATGTAACGGTTCGATAAAAATTTATCAAAGGCTTTCGTATGCTCGCCAACAGCTCTTCTGGTTTCTCTGATAGGAATTTTTGATGTCTGCCAGTAACTACCGATTACTGGATGTAATTTATTGAAGAATGCACGTTCCGCTGCGAAGCCTTAAAATTCAGTTGTTTTTGTTTACTTACTTTTGGCCCTCTAGAGAACACGAATGCGCCCACCACCGTCGCCCGAGGAAGTGGCTCTCTTCAGTACGCCACTGCCAACTCGAGAGGCCAATATCGAGAAGATGATGAAGGGTGATGAGATATTTGACATTCTCGTTATTGGAGGTGGAGCGACTGGTACTGGCGTAGCTCTAGATGCCGTCAGCCGAGGTTAGTTGGCTTCCCTCTATCCCCTCTCCCAGTGCGCTATTTAGCTGCGTGGGTCATAATTCAGTATGATTTGAACATTGTTGATTCCACCACTATAATGATCCCTAGCAGTGGATCTAGGCTGCACTATTATGCATAAACGCAGGCCTGTGAACTTCACCTTACTCCCTTTTACAATCACGCAAGGACATCTCTTTTGACGCCACGTTCGGAGTCAGGTGCTATTTTTTCCTTTCATTTCGAGTAGACAGATTTCATCCTGCCTGTAACCGTTTTATCATGGCCCCTAATTACGCCAAACTCGCTTCTTCTTAACAAGGACTACTTAGACTACATCCCATCCAAAACGCAACAACTTTTTGCCATAGTTACCTTAGTATTACAACTTGCAGCCTTGTAATTTCCTCAGAACTTGATCTGTAACTTGAGGTGGATCAGTATATTCAAGAGTCTGTAGACACAGACCCACATTTGATATTTGGGTCGCAGTCCATCATCCACTACGGGCTAACTGTATAGTATTCACAATGTGCCCTCAGAATTGTAACATAGAGCAGGTTCTCACTAAAAAAAGGTATTTGGCAATCGGACTGACTTTTCTTCGAAACCTACCTCGGTTTTGCTTGGACTATAAGAGCTCATCCAAAATTTTACCTTTAATTTTGAGCGGGCACTTTCTTACTGTGGGCTGTGTTTAGCGTAATTCGGTTCTTTGAAAACACTGAGTTGACTTCTAAACCTGATGTTTGCAGTTCCACGACGAGTTCAGCTCACCTTATTGTTCCAGTTTTATGTTCTGGTTGATTTCCTGCCCCCTGGATCCGGCATTTTCGTTAGGCTGTACTTTTTCATTTCTTTTCTTCCAGTCTAACTAACATGCTGCCTGCAGACTCCTGTACCTCTGTACTAACCGTGCTCCTCCCAATGATTTCACAGATTTATTTGAGTCATTCTGTTAGTTTCGCTAGCTTACTATGTATGTGTGTTAGTTCGACCATCGCAAGCGAAGATGTCCACCATTTACCCGAGAGCAGGGACGGTGACTGTGGTCAGGTATAGTGAAAGTAGACGCGCC